ATGAGATGGTTAGATAGCATCACTGAAGCAATGAGCATGAAACTGAGCAAACTCAGGGAGTTTGTGCAGTCCAGTGAAGGACAGGAAGGCCTGGCGCAATATGGTTCATGGGGTCACGAAGAGTCGGACACAACTTAACGACTAAACAACAACAATGTGTAATTTTGGAAAAGTCATTCTTTTCTACTAACCTAATAAAGGCATTATTTTCTATGTAGCAATATGTTATTCTCTGGTATAGATTTTGTGATGTTTTACAATAATAGAGTAGTATTCTTAGGTAATTTTTCTTTTTCTATTTGATAATAACATAATATTATAAGGTATTTTCCATAAACAAATGATCTCTACATGTTTAATATGTGTTTTTAGACATTTAGTATTGGGGTTTTAAAATTTTCTCTGGGTTCTTTTATTTTTGGTTTTTTCCCCCCTTTTTCTATTTGTTCTGTTTAGGGGTTGTTGGGGTTTTTTTGGTAATTCAAAAAAATGTTTTTAGGATTTAATTGTTTATTTCACTGTTTCACTTTTTTATTTTCACATTCTGTTTATTTTTTGTATTCTTACTATAAAACATAATCAAACAGAATAATAACAACAATGATAATAATGCAAATAGCATGGGCCATTGCAAAGTAGATTACAGTAGCCAAGGTGACATGTCATGCTAAGTAATAATAGGGTTTGTTTAGTTTTGAAAGTGTGTTATGTGAACTCAACATTGTCGTCTATAAGCTACGTTTAAGGCTTAATGTTAGGTATGAACCCAGCCAGTGTGACTCTTACAGTGAACCACAGTTAAGCAAACTAGGGCTTAGCACAGGGTCAGAGTTGAGCCGGTGAGATCAATTTAACACATGCGCCCACACATATTACATTGAAGGTAGAGATTCAAGTTTATGAAGTGTGATTGCTGGATTCTCATTAGGTTTTGATTACTCAGAAAACCATTTCTGTCAGACTAATTGATAGCCTAGAAGACAACTTTTTTCCAGTGCTATCATGCATATAGTATTGGTATTGTTGCTTTGTTATTTAATTCTTCTTTTTTCAGGCTGCCCGAGCACGTCTGAAAAACTCTGGTCTATGGAAAAAATGAAAACTTACTTCTGCCTTATCAAGAATCTCCGGCCGATACTGACAGACGAAAGCCACCTGATCCTTGTCCGCTATTATCAGATGCAGAGGCAGAGTGACTGCCGGAACGCAGCCCGAACCACAATCCGCCTATTAGAGAGCTTGATACGGCTTGCCGAAGGTGAGATCTTTTTCTTCCCCACTTTCTTTTCCAATAGCTGCATTCCACAGAATAGATTAACAAACACACATTAAAGAAATGCGGCAGCCAGCATTTTACCCAGCTAGGTAGATTTGATTTCTTTATCAAGAATTGGTTCAGATGGTATTGTCTACCTTTCTGTTTTGGCGCTGTGTTTCATGGGTGCAAGATCCCAAAAGATTCTCGTCCTGTGTAATAAATAGCTCACACATGCAAAGTTTTTCCATGCCTGCATAATATGACCCAGGCAGAGTTCTCCAGCTTACACATGTATGAACTGAAACACAGAATAAGGAGAATTTATGCTTTGTTTATCACAGAAGCATCACTGTGATTAAAAGAAGATTTTACGTAAGATTAATAACTACATAAACATAAAAAGAAAAGTAGAAAAAAGATATTAAAGAATAAAAGAAAAAGTGAAAGAGAATAAAGGATCCTGTGAGCAACTTTCGGTGTTCTAGACTGAAAGACATGTTCTTGTTCTGCTCACGAGTATTAAATGACCTTGCATAGAGCCTTCTGTTGCTTCTGGAATGCGTCACCGTATAGCAGTTTGGAACAGAAGAGAATTACATGGCATTTCTCCAGATCATAAATGAGGGACTATCAGCACCAATCCTCAGTTGATATTGGTGACAAAATGGCTGTCTGCTTTCCTGGAAGGCTATCCAAGTTGTGCGTTTTTCTTTTTGTACTGTGTTTGTACTCTTATATATACTCTTAAATAATCCTAGCCTAGAAATTGTGGCCAAATCATTATTTTCTGGAAGATGAGGGCAAGAAGAGATAGTAATATTTGGATCAGCTTATAGCTTATCATGTTTGAATCCATTTGAGTTATTGCAAGAGACATTTAGGTCACCCAGAATTGCAGAATAGCAATTTTCTGCAATTCAGTTTTCAATGAAAACATCTTCTGAATTTGCAGTTGGTGAAGATATATTAGGAGCATCTAAAATTCTGAATTGTTGACAATATCAGCATGTGTTTTAGATTATTTAAGCCTATCCTATTATTTTATAAACAATTAAAAAGTAATATTACGGTAGATATTGGTTATTGGCAGGAACTTTGAAATAAATTGTTAAAGTATGTCATATTAACAAGTCAGTGGCTGAAGGTTATTTAAAGAATATCAGTTATGTTTCTAAGTACAGTCGTGTGAAAAATAAAGTACACCCTCTTTGAGTCCCGTGGTTTTACGTATCAGAACATAATAAAAATCATCTGGTCCTTAGCAGTTCTCAAAAGTAGG